GTAACCCTCAAAGTAAATAAGTTTTTCCTCAAGTTTATATGAAACTTCCTATGTTTTAATTTGTACCCATTGCCCCTTGTTCTGTTACTGGATATCACTGAAGAGAGCTTGATCCACTTGATTCCCACTCACCAGATATTTATAAGCATTGATAAGATTCCCTCCCACCAGTCTTCTCCAGGCTGAACAGTCCAGTTCTCTCAGCCTTACCTCATATGGGAAGTGCTCCAGACCCCTAATCATTTCTGTAGCCCTCCACTGGACTCTCCCTAGAAGTTCCCTGTCTGTTCTGTAGTTTTCCAGCTCCTCCTTCTTGGCCTTTTTTTGAAGACTGGAGTATTGTTGGCTTTCCTCCAGTCCTCAGGCCTCTCTCCCATTCTCCATGGCATTTCAAAGATGATAGAGGCCATCACAATAATTTCTGCCAGCTCCCTCAGCATTCATGAGCGCATCCCATCAGTGTCCATAGATTTGTGTACAGAATTCCCATAGATTGTTTCTGACCAGATCTTCTTCAACCATAGGGAAGTCTTCCTTTTTTTCCAGACTATCTCTTACCTCCAGAGTCTGAGATTCCCGAGGGATGGAAAGACTGAAGCAAAGAAGGCATTCAGTAATTTCACCTTCTCAGCACCCTCCATTACTAAGGCTTTCACCTCATTCAGCTGCAGATCCACATTTCCCCTAACCTTCCTTCACTACCTACACATTTTAAAAAGCCCTGTCTTGATCTTGGCTTCTCTGCCCAGATTAAGTTCCAAGAGGGCCTTGGCCTTCACTGCATCCCTGCATGCCCTGACAATGTTCCTACATTCCTCCCAATTGGCCAGACCCCTTTTCCACCTTCCATAGACTTTCTTTATGTTTTTCTATGAGCTCCGTGCTCATGCATGTGCATCTCCTACCACCTTTGACTGATTTCTTACTCTTAGGGATATGCCAATCTTGAGCTTGGGGAAGGGGTGCTTGAATGTCAGTGACCTCTCTAAGGCCCCCTTACCTTCTAGTGTTCTAATCCGTGGAATACCTCCAAGAAGGTCACTGAAGAAGTCAAAACGGGCTTTCCTGAAGTCCAAGATTACAGTCCATCTTATTATCTTTTTTTCCATGTTCCTGAACTCCACTATCTGATGGTCACTGCATCCAAGGCTGCCCCCAGCCTTCACATCCCCAACTGGTCCTTCCTTGTTTGTAAGGACAAGGTCCAGCACCTTGGCTCCTCCACCACCTGCATCAGAATGTTATCTTCCATGCACTGCAGGAACATCCTGGGCTATGTGCACCTGGCAGTGTCACTGCTCCAGTAAATATTAGCATGGTTGAAGTCCCCCATGAGAACCAGTGCCTCTGATTGTGAAGCGACTTTCAGCTGTCTGTGGAAGGCCTTGTCAGCTTCCTCCTCCCGATCAGGTGGCCTATAGTAAACATCCACATTGGTGTCACTAATATTAGCCTGCCACTTAATTCTCATCCATACGCTCTCTCATCATTCATCCTTAAGACAGAGATCAATACATTCTAGTTGTTCTCTCACATACAGAGCAACTCCACTGGCTTGACTTTGCTAAAAAGTACATAGCCATTCACAACAGCATTCCAGTCACGCAAGCTTCCCCACCACATCTCTGTGACTGCAATGAAATCATGGCTTTCCTACTACACGCTGATCTTTAATTCTTCCTGCTACTCCCTATGCTGTGTGCATTGGTCTACAGGCACTTCAGAGAAGAAAAGAGCAGAGGATGCAGGTTCCCCTAAAAGGATGCAGGAGGATCCCCCATTGCTATACACACTCTTGAGGTGGCTGGCCTTCAGGCTCATGTCACAGGAGGCAGGTAAGGAACATTTGTCACTGTTCACATTGGCATGGCTTATTCCCTAGTCAGTCATAATGGCATGAGTATTGCCATTTTGGATCCCACCCCTTAAGTTCTTCAGTTTGAAGCCTGCCTCACTAGGTTGGCCAGCCTGTTACCAAAGACAGCCCTGCCTCTTCTAGACAGGTGGACCCCACCCCTTACTGAAAGGTTATGATCTCCACAGAAAAGAGTCCTGTAAGTCCAGTAAGTCCTATTGACATTAAAATGAAAACCCTTACACCAGCACCAGCCACATAACCAGAAATGTATATGCATTATCCACCTATTTCTGGCTTCCCTCTTTCCTCCAATTGGCAGAATTGAAGAGAATATCTTGGACACCGGTATTCCTCACGTGCACTCCCACGGCTTTATAGTCTTATTTGATTCTGCCCATGTTCCACTTTCCATCCCACATGAAAGAGCAATTGGGAATAGCAGTCTGTGCTCTTGAGAAAACGCTGTACCCTCTGGGCAATGTTCTGGATCTCAGCTCCTACGAGGCAGCAGACCTCTTAAGACTCACTGTCAGACCAGCAGATGGGAGCTTCATTGCCTTTTAACAGGGAGCCCACCCACTACCTGCATATTTAGATATACCCCATACACTGGGCAAATGTTGTATATCATTTATGTATACGAACTTCTGAAATGATGGTAAGGAATTAAAACGCTATCATATGACTAATGCCAAGTATTTTGCAAACATGAGAAGCAAGAAATCTTTTTGGTCTCCCAAGACTCCTTTGCGATGTCCTACATATAAAATTTCTTAACTCCAAATTCAAAGTCAAGCTTCGCACAGGGGAAATTGTGATTTTCCTCGAAGGCTCAAAGGAAAATTCAGGATTATATTAAATACATGAGGTTAGTTATTAGTAATGTTGTTCTTCAAAGGACTGCAGAAACTGAGAAGACTGATGTCATGGGAAAGCCAAGTAATTGGTGAAAATGTTTTTTAGAAGGTTAACCTTTTCTATTACTACTTTTGAAGCACTGTAAGAAGAGACTTAGTATGATTTCCTTCCTGGTTGCTTTGTGCCTGGAATACAATTCTTTGGGCTTGATGCTTTTAGCCTGTTTCCCTGAGAGTTTTACAGCCCCATTTTACACATTTATCTAAAGTGGGTGCCCACGGCAGCACAAAAGCAAGATCTGTCCTCTCCACTGAGCACACACTGCCTACTGCAGACCCACCAAGAGCCTTCCACTTTATGCTTACCTATGTGGGGAAGTTTGCTAGTTTGCTTTCTTAGTGGCCAGGGTTGCAAATGCACATAGAATCACTTAGGCTAGAAAAGATCTTCAAGATCAAGTGCAATGATTAACCTGATCTACCGAGTCACTTCACTAAACAAAGTCCCTTAGAGTCAATGTGCACACATCTCACAGGTACCTCTAGGGATGGGAATTCCATCATCTTCCTGGGTTTCCATTTCCAATGCTAGACAATCCTTTGTGTGAAGGAATTCTTCATATTGTCACCCATCATGTCACCCAAGAAAAGAAACCAACATCCAGCCTGGTGTATGGTTGGTCTTGTTCATTCCAGCAGAGCACTATTTACTCAAGCTACTGCTATGAAGATGCATTAAACAAGAAGCACATGGCTATTATGCTGTTCAGCCACATGTTGGCATCACCACTCTCCTCCACCTGTTTGCCCTCTAGCAATGACTGCAGGCCATTATGCAAGATACACACTGAGGAAGGGATACAGAGGAAGAGCTGAGGACATCTTGCCCAAATTCAGAATGGCCATTTCTACCTCCTGTGGCAGATGTCAACAGAGCTAAAAGGAAGGCGAAAGCATCCTGCTTCCCTGAGATCTGTGGCATATGTCCCTGCACACAAGCAGCCAACACTTGGTCCTTTTCCTGTTCTAGCTTCTAATGAGAATTGACAGGCTTGTGCTTCTATTAGGGTGGCTTGCACCAGGACTAGAGAACGTATAAACAGCGACTCACTCCAAACGAAACATGCACAATCCTTTTATTTCCCCTTAATATAAGAAGTCTTTGCTGCTTCCAGTCATTAATTTCTTATTCTATAATTCCACAGTGTGGTCCCATTTAAACACTACTCGAGGCTTTTCACTAGTCACAGATGTCAAAATGATTACCTATCAGATTAGTTAGCTGCATTTTGCATCTCTGCACAGATACTTTCAAAATTTGCTATCACTTAATACCAGAAATGCTAAGGACATTCTTTCGAGGACAAAAGTTTACTTGACAAGTTATCCAGTAGTTATTACATCTCAAGTGTATATCTTGCCTTAATCCAACAGAACTTTCAGCTTCCCTTTGGAGGCATAACAGCTGAATTGATCTTTTATACAGGGGGACAAATTTAATTTTCCGGCTCTGATTTGGAAAAGAATGCCTATTCAAGACAGCACTTTAGCCTTCCTGAAGTCAGTGAGACCCAAACACGTGTTTACAATTAACCATGTGCTTAAGCGGTGGTCTGAACTGAGTGAATAAATATTTAGTCAGTAGGTCTGCTTGCATAAGAAAGAATTACCAGTCTGACAGAATTACAGAATTTGGCTATAAGAGGCTGGAGGATTAGTAACAAATGTGTCATTCCTGTAAGTAATTCACTTAAACTACAGCCACAGCAGAGCTGTTTAGAGTATGCACACAGATTAATTTGAAGGACAGACTTAGAACATAATTATCAACGAAGAACTGTAAATTTGTAATAATATATCAGAATCATCAAGTGACTTTCAAACAAGATCTATAGAACCAAATATCCTGCTCCAATTTAATGAATTCCAGCCTGTTTCAGAGCTAGGTTATGATTTCACTTGGAAAACTGAATAAGTAGCAGTGCAGGCCAAAGTAATTGTGGCTCAAAAAAAAAAAAAGCTGAAAAGCATATGTAAGACCCTCCAAACCCTGCCAAAATTATTTTTTTTGGTAGCAGTTTATGAGAAAGATATGAGAAGCCATCAACAGAGCTTAAGGGTTTTATGTTCCCAACTCCTATTGACTGATAAGGGTCCTGGAGACTGTCAAACATTTCTCTAGGTGCTCTTAAGATCACTTAATGGTGAGGATAAATCCCTGTATTGTCCATGTTTGAAGAAATACATTATAATTTGCAGGTGAGTTTATAGTGTACATTGCTTACCTTCCTTCCAGGCAAGATTACAGGTATGTGTCCATCTGGTACATCTACCTCCAACAAGGGAGGCTGCTCACTCCTATGTTGCAGAGAAGAGCAGGAAAGAGAATCAGTTCCACATGTCACTCCATCGCTGCAAGACCAATGAGAAGTTCAACAATTAAGAGGACGACTGAAAGACCTTTACAAATGAATAAATATATTTGCTCTCATACTGCACCTCTAATGTATTACAGTTACAACTGGCTGTGGAAGTGACCCTCCAAACTGAACTGGTGCCACTTCCTCAGTTTCAAAACCAAAATCCCCCAACAAGAATTTGATGAGCATATAGGTGACTGCAGCCTGCTGAACCAAGCAGGGCTTCAGCAACTCCAGCTGTGTACCAGGGCCTTGGAGCAGCAGTGGAAGCCACCCCCTCCAGACATCTCCTCTCGCTGAGAATAGCAGAAGCAGCAGGCTGAGCTTCTCTCCTAGCTTTCATTTCAGAATAGGTAACACTGCTGTCCTTATGCTCAGAGCCAGGTAACAGCTCAGCTCCAGGGGCTGTGACAGCTCTGTGAGTTACTAATTAATTCACCACAGTTGCTCTGCCCTCTCTACAGTAACTAAATCTAGTAAACATGAGGGTTGTCAGGCTAAGGAGAGCAGGGCTCTGAGGTATGAGGACAGATACACCATTTCCTCAAATTTTCCTCCACTGAGCTCAATGTACAAATCTTCAGGGATTCAACATGCTGGGGGAAGGGGGGGGAATAAAGGAGCTCTTTGGGATGCATGCCAAGTGCTTATGCACATAAGGCAGAGCACGTACATGAGCACATGTGGCATTACTGCTGTTGGAATGATTTACGTGCATCAGAGCCCTAGCGGACTCTTGCTGCGCTTGAACACATCCATGCATCTCTGGCTGCCAGGGATACACCAGCTCCAGCATGGCGCCTCTCCTCTAACCCTAGTAAGCATCCCTGAGACGCAGGCTCTTTGCCTGGAGCCCCATTCACAGAAGCAGGGCTCCCAGGCCAAGCACCAGCCCTCTAGTTGCTATAGACAGACATTTCCCCATAATTTAAACATTCTACACATAGTCTTGCAGAAACACAGGAAAACTGATGCAGGTAAATGCTTCTAATTTCCAGCAGATCAAGGAAGATACCTGTCTAAACAGCAACAACAAAAAAAACCCACAAAGACCTAATACCATTCCTTCAATGCTTTGTCACATTGCTGAAGACAATAGCAGTATTCTAGGGTTTGAGAACTTATTTCCACCAGACTGGTTTGATTCACCTCTGAATCAGAGTGGTTTGGGTTAGAAGGGACCTTACAGACCATCTAGTTCCCACACTCAACCATGGGAAGGGACACCTCACACCCAGCACCCCATCCAACCTGGCCTTGAACACCTCTAGAAATCATCCACAGATTATCTGGGCAGCCTGTTCTAGTAGTGCCTCAGTGCCTTTTCAGTCAAGAAATTCATCCTAATATCTAAACTAAACTTACCTTCTTCTAGTTTTGTATAATCAATGAATGTTAACGTGTTATAATTACAAAATAAACAAGAGAGTTTGGCAAAGCATATAACGATAACAAAAAGAGAATAGATAGAAGGCTTACCCCTATCCTGGGCTCAGTCACAAAACTCCAGCAGAGCAGATCTCCAACAGAGACCCTTCCCCACTGGCAGCCAGCTCTTCAATAGGTCTAGGAGAGGTGCAGCCAGGCTCCCCTCCTTCCGGCACACAGCTGAATTGCCTTCACCTGTGCTCCTGTGACTGACTCAGTGCTCGCCTCAGGTGGTCAATCAGAGGTTCAGGCTGTGACTCAGCAGTTCCCATACAAGTTTAAAGCCATTACTCCTTGACCTATCACTCAATTACCTGTGCAAGCCACTTCCCAGTTTTCCTATAGGCTCTCTTTAGAGCTCTTTAGTACTGGAAGGTCACATTGGGTTCTCTCTGGGTCCTTCTCTAGGCTGAATAATCTCAGCTTCTCTTCACAGGAGAGATGCTCCTACCCTCTGAGCATCTTCATGGCTTCTTCTGCACCTGCTCCAGCAGGCCCACATCCTTTTTATGCTGGAGGCACCAGAACCGAATTCAGTTCTGCCAATGGAGTCTCATGAGAGAAGGAGACAATCACCTCCCTTTCCATGCCAGTGAAACCTCTTTTCATGCAGACCAGGATATGGTTGGCTTTCTGGGCTGAAAGCACGCATTGCCACCCCACATTGAGTTTTCATCAACCACATTCCTCCCTCTACTGCAGCTTTTATTCTTGCAATCATTACTCCTCCACTTCCTGAAATCAGTGCTGAGGAGACCCTTCTAGAACATCAGGGCCTGTCTTTCTGACAACTGATCTGATCAGTCTCAGCAGGTGTCTCTGGCACATCAGCTGTTGCTTAATTCCTGCAGTTCACACTTGAGAAACAGGTTAGGAGACCATCCCTCTGCCCAAGCATGCTCTGCTTGTGCATTGTTGGTATGGCTCCTAGCCAGCTGCAGGAATTTCTCCTGATGTTTGCTATAGGTTTTAGAGCAGAGAGAAGGAGAGGTACCATACTTAAACTGAACCTGTGATCTGACACAGATTAACCCACTTCAGCATCAAACTCCCCAAAGTATTTCCCCAGTCTGTCTTAAAAACAGACCAAAAGTCTGCTAAAGATGGCCTAGACATACTCTCCCATGTTAGGGAGTCTTTGCTGTACTGGGAGTGGACAGAGAGCAGTGTAAAGCCCCTGTGTTCAGAGCTCATATCCTCATATCCACAATGGCGTCAGGAGTTTCCTCAACCATGTTAACAGAGCAGCTTTGGCAGGGGGAACAGTGGGTGTTGGTGTGGGGACAGAAAACCTCCTCCTCGGGACTCCTTGCAGCCAAGGGATGTGGCAGCTGGCTGGGCTGGATCTGCCACTTGTGCAAGCCCATCAACACGTTCCCCAGGCTCCAACTGGCTACGGGGGGAACATAAGAGTGAGCAGCAGCAGGCCTCTGCCCTTGACCTGCATCTCCATCTGACCCAAGTGCTGTGACAAGTACTGAGTTGCCCTCAAAGAGGAGCATTCGGTCCACAGCTTCTCATTGGCTTTAGATGCAACAGATGCAGCTGGTCAGCAGGCTGATCTGCCATATTTGGCGCTTGGATTCCCAGAGATGAAGAAAAACTGCAGTGCGGTGCGGGGGATATATGACTTGTCAGCACTGCAGAGGGAGAACAGGAAGCATGGATGGATGGAGGCTGCTCAGCTGCCCCAGCCCACCTAGTTAAATCTGCCCACCTTCTCTCAGCTTGTTTTCCTTCATCCTTGTTGGAAGAAAGGGATGTAGCTTCTTAAAATGTCATATCTCTGCACAGCATTTGCATGCTGCCTTGCAAAACTCTCTCAAGGCAGGCTGCTGCACTTGGAATGTCCCATAGGAGCAGTGCAAGCAGGCTTTCAGGAAGCTTGCAGGGAAACCAAGCCTCTGCTCCTGCTTGCAGACCTCTTTGTGATCAGGGTGCAATGTTTTCCAGCATGGTTTGGAGGCAGCAAAAGGCACACAGACATCAAAGGGGTCTTGGCTTCCCAGAGCAACTTCTTGTAACCATTATTCTCACTGTTTTTTCCCTTTTCTTTTTTTTTTTTTCCTTTGGAAGCAGACCTCATGACGCATCACATGAAGTATTTTTCTCCCGTCCCACACCTCCCAGCCAAGGAACTTGAGGGTTGCTGCCGGTGCAAATGAGCAACCCCACATGAGCCCATCTGTACTGCATGTGGCCCCCACACCCTCCACAGCTCATCAGGCAAAACCGCTGCTCCTCCCTGGTCCTGCACACATACGCACACATGCACAGGCACATCCAGAGAAGTGCACTGCTCCTTCTGGCCAGGAGGTAGGAAAAGGCTCTTTGCTCTTTCACGTGGCTCCTATGCCTCAGAGATAGGGGCTGCGGAATGATGGTATTCAGTTCTGCATATGGGCAACCAGTGCTAGATACAGAGAAAGTGCTGCAGATACACTTGGAGGGCTTCTACCCATACAGCCAGGAGGGAGCCAAACCACTATGAGTATGACCTGATGCCTCCCACAAGTCCCCTGGGTGAGATGCCTTAACAGCTTCTGCACAGAGATGCACGGCAAACAGACTGGCCCACTTTTTGCTGTTTCACTGCTGTGCACAGAGGTCAGGTTTTAATTGTGTTCTGGAGCCCTTCTGTACCTAAAAACTCCCCAAGGGATCTCCTGCAGGTCACAGTAACAAGTATCCCCTACAAGCTGTCATTATTTTACATCAGCTGAGCAGCAGGTACCACGCAAGGCAAGCTGTTGCCTCCTCTGTGGCACTATTTCAGATGGTTGGATCCATCTCTGCAGAGGGCCCACAGGACTCTGGCGGCTGCAGTCCTGCCAGGATACAGGTCCTGGCAGCACAAGATGAAGGAGAGCGCCCTGCAGGCTCACCTAGTGTAGCCAGGATGAAACTCTGGGCCCTTGTTTGGGGTAGACAGAGTGAACGTATAAAGAGAGGCAATTTAGTGAAGCTGTTTTGTGGCAGTTCATGCCCTGTGAAGACAAAGGAGAGACTGGAGACATTAGATCACCAAATGCAGGGCCTGACCCAAACTGAAATAAAGCTTCATCCAGGAGAGAAGAGCCAGGAAATGACACAAGGCTTTGTGAGTGTGATCCAAGTGATCTGCCTTTGCTTCAAACCACCAGCTCCCACAGGAATCTCACTGCCCAGCAGGATATGGGGGCTCCAGGATTCACACCATCCATTGGGGTATTTTATGGAGCAAAGTCAGCCCAGTCCAAGAAAGATCCTCCCTGCTGATATTAGGGGCTGGCAGGCTGAGCAGAGAGGCCAGGGATTTAAAGGACCGTAGAGAATAGACTCGTTCCTCCCTGCCAGATAATTTTCAGTCAAGCAATTACTGAGGCACATTTAACACTTGGAAAGAGCCCGTGTGGTGCGTATAGACTGTGCTACACTTATACATCAGCTTTCTGACCTGGCAGCAGGCACAGTGCTGGCACTTTTGTGCGTGTATTTTTTTAGGTTTGGTAACTTACTTAATTGCCTGTCCCACTTCTGAACAGGATCTTCTAACTGGTCATTTTCAATAACAGTGAAACA